TAATGTTATTATAATCATCTCTTTCGAAAGTGTATTGTAGAGGAGAAAATATATATTATATACTATAAGCTGTAAGAAAAACTAACTTTTTTGTTTCGATAATTTGCACAAAGTCTGTCACTTTGTCAAAATGTATACAGTATTGGCCAAAACACAACACTGCTTTTATAGACCGAAATGGGTAAATATAAACTCTAAATGTAGATGGTGAGTATTCCAACATATGAAAGTCAAAGATTTACATAAACAAATTAGCATTTAACAGCCGTTATCATAAGGACCTCCTTTTGAAATGAGACACAGTTACGTGTTTCTTAAGATTTAGAATAAAACTTACATTTCCATTAGAATAGCTTTAGCCAAAATAGAGAAATTTCTTTAGCCAAAATAGAGAAAAATAGGTGACGTTTTTTTTTCTCTTTTTATATATATACACACACACACTACATATTAGCTATGAAAATCTAGGATATTAGCTATTTTATTATTATATACATATTTGAGTTATTATTATTAGCTGGTCAGCTAAGTTGATTACTTTTAATGACTTGGAGGTCAACGTTAAGTTGGTTGTCGCCTATTTTATGGTAGGAGGCTGGCAAGGCAGCAAACTGGAGGGTACCTAATGAATTGGCCGCTCGTGCCTCATGTATCACCTTCTTCTTTTTCAAAGAAGGAAGGTAAAGACATATTCGAATATCTGTCACAAATATCTGGATACATTCCGTTGTTTGTATCTTTTCCTCTAAACAAGGTTCAAACGTAAATTTATCCAGAGGTCCTTCTTCCTCATGATTTTCATTTGAAAATCCTTCAGAGGGAAAAATAGTTGATACCTTTTGTACAAGATACCGTCAACCACATTAGGACTATGCGTCCGGTATCTATAACAACCGTCCATATTTGTTCCATGATATATTTATGAATATTTTTCTCTTCCTTTAAAAGAATATTGAGTCTACGACGACTATTGTTAAATTTTATAACCCAGATATTTTTTTTTAAGAGTTTGATTTCGAAAATATGCTGGACTTCATCTTAACAATTATGACACAGGAGAGGATAGGCGACATGCCATGGCTCCTTGGTAAATTAGGGAGTTAAAATATTTTTTCAAGTAGATTTCGCCGCTTAGCAGATATAAAAGTTGGACCTTGTTCTGTGCTGAAGCCAGATCATTGGCTAAGACTGAATTCGTCTCCCGAAGAAGAAATCATCATCGAAGAGTCAAATGTTCTGTAGTCTCTTTGGATTGCCCTTCCCCCAACAAACTGCACAAATCGCTAGATTTGGTTATTTTCTTCTTCCTAGTTGCTGAGCTTGTGTTCGATCTGTTATGAGATAGTGACACTTAAATAGCGACTGTCCTGCTTTTTGAACGTACAGCCTTATAAATATAATGTCTGGAGGAGTTTTCCTGTTTTTTTTGAGGGTCTAAAATTTTAGATTTGTTACTTGAAATTCTTTTGTGAAATCTACTTCTACGATAACGAGACCGAGAACGTAATTTATAAAGGAATCCCTTTCACACGGAGAAGGGCATTCACTAAAATTACAAAATTTTGTATCATTGAGACAACAACACTTCGGTTATTATAATATTATCTCGATAGCGAGATCTGGAATATCTTAAAAAAGGAATCCCTCTCACACGGAGTAGAGGATTCTCTAAAAGTACTAACCTTTGTCTCGCTATGAAAGAACACTGGGAGAAGAACAGTCCGTGTTTATACAATATTCCTCATCCCTTTGTTTTCTCCTTTCCTCTAATCCCCACATTTCGGGATGTACTTCTATTTATTTCCATCCAATATTCGTCTAAAAATAAATATTCTAAAAGACTTACATGTAATACGTGTAATTAATTTTTCGATAAGGCTATCGATAACGTATAAAAGAAATCCCTCCCACACGGAGATGGGCATTCTCTAAAAGTACGAAATTTTGTCTCACTGGGAGATACAAATATTTGGCACCTAAATATATAAATAATATTCCCTTGAGAGTGAGATCTAAAATCTCATAAAAAAAGAAATCCATTCCAGAGATAGGCATTTTCTAAAAGTACAAAATTTTGTTTCATACCTTATTTCATTGCTGGGAGATAAAACACTTCGGCATTTATAGTACTCTGTTGATTGCGAGATCTAGAATCTCATATAATAGGAATCCCTCTCACGAAGAGAAGGGCATTCTCTGTAAGTACGAAACTTTGTCTCACGGAGAGGACAACAGTTCGATATATATATGTTATTCTCATTTTTTCTTTTTGTCTAATTCCATTGTTTCCTCCTTGCCTCTAATTTCCATATTTCGAAATTTGCTTTTACTTTAATTATTTCCATTCATTATTTAATTTCCTAAAAATAAGTATTATAAGATACTCACCGGTAATACGTGTAATTAATATCTCGATAGGGGATATCAACAATGACTTATAAAAGGAATCCCTCACACGGAGACGGCCATTCTCGAAAAATGAGAAATTTGACTCCCTGGGTGATACAACACTTCGGCACAACTTCGGTATTTATAATATTCTCTTGATAGAGAGATTTAGAACCTCATACAATAGGAATCCCCCTCACGAGGAGAAGGGCATTCTCTATAAATAGGAAACTTTGCGTCACTGGGAAAACAACAGTTCGATATTTATAATATTATTTGATAGCCAGATTTCTAACCTCATATAATAGGAATCCCTTTCACGAGGAGAAGGGCATTCTCTAAATAGGAAACTTTGTCTCACTGGGAGCACAACAGTTCGATATATACGATATTCTTATTGCTTTCTCCATTTGTCTACTTCCATTGTCTCCTCCTTGCCTCTAATTTCTACATTTAGAGATTTGCTTCCACTTCAATTATTTCCCTCCATTATTTAATTACCTGAAAATAAATATTATAAGATACTTACCTGTGATACCTGTAATTTATCTCTCGATAGTGGGATATCAATATTGACTTATAAAAGGAATCTCTCTCATATGGCCATCCTCTAAAAGTACGAAATTTGACTCACTCGGAGATGCAACACTTTGGCATTTATAATATTCTCTTGACTGCGAGATATAGAACCTTATATAAATGAGAATTCCTCTTACAAGGAGAAGGACATTCTTTACACGTACGAACTTTGTCTCACTGAGAGTACAACAGTCCGATATATATAATATTCTTATTGTTTTCTTCTTTTATCTAATTCTAATATTCCGTTATTTACGTCCACTTCGTTTTTCTCTAAAAATAAATATTATACAATACTTACATATTGTTCCTTGTGTTCTACCTAGCTGTAGAACACCGTATATTACATAGTAATATCCAAAATGAGTAGAGAATAAACAAAATGGCTTCATCGATCTACGACGAAGAAATCGGAGAGCTACGATCCGCACTGCACCGTGCACGAAAGACGAATGAATACCGACCGCCGCGCCAGTGCCGACGCCGCCACCTAGACTGGTAGCGGGAGGGAATTTAGCTTATAGCTTTAAAATTGTGCACGCAGGGACGGTACTACGTATAGAAAAATCAACATAATACATTCGGACTGGACGCGAATATAATTAAAATAAAATTAATATTCTTATATTGGTGATTTGACAAAAATTTTCTAATCAAAATTTCTGTTCTCAACTTAGATAACTCAGTTTTATGGAGCATTTATTTCATAATATTTATCATAATAAAATTGCTCAGATTTTATTATCATTTCAGACTTCTGCATATAACTGATATAAGTTGCTTTGATAAACAATTATTGCATATAAAAATTATTGTTTTATTCAAGGTAATATCACCATAAAGATTTCATACAGGTAACAATTATTATAACAGTAAAACATGCACTATAAAACATATTTGTGGGTGTATACATATAGACAGACATATCAACAATATTAAGTCACCAAGTTAAAATACGGTAATTTTAAATGAATCCATACTAATTTAATGAATAAACATAAGTACTTTCGAGATATAATAATGTGTAAATATATTAAAAATACACATGTGGAATTTATGGTGGTAAAGTAAATATTTCTGTTAGAAATTAGCACAAAATAAAAATATTTATTTTAACCATACATACATGGTAACAATATGTTTTTATATCATAAAATAGTTAAAATATAACATTTTATAATGAGTAATAATGAGACAAATGTTAAATTTCAAAATCGCAATATAACATTTTTGCTTTAAGGTACTGAATTTAAATCATAGCAAAATAAAGAAACAGATAATACTTTGTCTCTCAAAGCAGTACTAGAGACTTATTATTTATTAGCAATAAACAAGAGGCATACTTGGAAGTGGTAGATTATTTACTGAGGTTTATCAAATCATCAAATCAAAATACTTTGTTTTTTTTAATCTTAAATACAAAAATACAAGATAAATTTCTTCTAAGTTTGTTAATGTATGAGTATGTGTATGAAAATATACAATATTCCTATTGTCAAGGAAAATATTATAGTTGTAATTATTTTTGGTACTGTTTAATGAAATATATCGTGTTGATAAAAACTTCCATCTAGCGTATAAAAGTAAGAAACTTTTCTTTAATATTAAGAATTTAATATACAAATTACATGTTTTTGTTAATTTAAAAGTTGATCTCAACTTATTTTTCCATCTCTTGATATATTATTCAATAGTATCAATATTTAATTAAATTTTATCAAATATTGATACCTCTTTAAAACATGCGACCTCATACGAGTACAAGAAAATATTGCTAAATTAATTTATCATAAACTATACTTTCCAAGGCCTTCAAACTTCTCCTATCTTCTGTTTATTAACAATTTTTATAAATATGACCCCCCGATTAGATAGAACTAAATTAATATTTTTCCATTAAAGGAGTGAATTTCATTTTCTATAGATAATTTTAGTTACTTAAGAATGTTTGTTTATATATATATAAATAGCGATAATTTTTTTCTATTAATTAATTAATAATTGTTTATACTATTAATTATTTTAATTTGCAGGAGCAAAGACCTGTCCCAGTACCCAAAGATGATCGTAAGTGTTTCTTGATATAGAATATGTATGTATTACAAAGAGAGTATGTTAGAAAAAGGAATCTACAACCCATTATTTTTTCCTTTAAAAAATAGAAAATTTGATGACTTTGAAAGATTTTAAAATAATTCTTAATGGCCTGGTATAATTTTTTGTTTCCGATAGTCCACGACAAACAATTGACCAATCAATTATTGGTCAATCACTGTAAAAATTTTCTTTTTGGTAACTTTCCCTATAAATAAAATTTTAAAAGAGCACATTTTGGAAATTTTCGCTGGAAATTTCTTTGAAAAGCTTTGTTTAAGCTCTTAAAGTGAACCACCACTATCATCACAGAAAGAATAAAAGGCGTATAAGCTTTAAGCCGGTCCTACACGATGCTTCCAAGGTTGGACGCATCATTTGGCATATGTTTCGACAATATTGCAATTCACTAGTGTGTCTCCTACACGATGTGGCAAATGTTCATGTGTCCAATGTTAGAAGGTGTTTGACACATCGTGTGGGACCGGCTTGAATGACAGATGATTATTAAAGATGATTGTTTATTTTAGAGTTGGCCAACCGTCCTCTATTCCAGAGGACAGTCCTCTTTATAACACTGTCCTCTTTTCTCTCACGTATTGAAAAAGTCGTCTGTTTTACATACCAAACTCAAAATCTAAAAAATATTTGTCTATGTTAATCTGTGTTTTTCGCTACTCCCACTAGTTTGTACAGAAAAGAAAATGAAGAAATACTTTGTACAAGAAATATTTGTGGAAGCGATAAACATGTTTAACAATTTTATGTTTATTATAGCTTATGTTACGATAAATTCTAGACATTTGGGCGAGGTTTCAAAAAAATGTGCCTCTTTTTTGCTTTCTCGTCTTCTATTTTTTATTTTGAAAGTTGGCAACCCTAATTTATTTTGACAGCTACATTAGCCACATGACTTGATTAAAACTTGTTTAAAAACTTCAAAATTAGGTCAACATTAATAAAAAATATTTAAAAAGTATAATGTGTCCAAAACTATTTTAATTTTTTCTTAATTTACTTCTTTTAACACTCTACGTGTGGAAACACTATACTAGCCCACCCCCACTTCGACAGTATTACTCTACTCTCCCAGTTTGCTATAGTTTACCTAGCAAGTTGAAGACTGACGTACGTAAAATGTGTTCTGTCTTTTCTTCTTCAAACTCTTTTGCCCTGGTGGATTTCTTCACCATTCTAAAGATTTACTGGCCATCCATCGTTTGGTGGCCATTCTCGTGACCACTTTTGCTTTATGGACCTATGAATGGCATTAATAAGTTTTATTTGGCCATTTCATCTGCCTTTTCGTTATCCTTGTGACCCTCGTGCTCTTGTACCTAGGCTAACGTAATATTGCTACGCACACTCAAAGTATTTAGAGCAACACACACACACAATCCTACACTACTCTATAATTGACCTCTATGGAACCGAGTGTCTTTAGCGCTGCTTGACTCTCTGTGAAGATGGCCATCGAACGATGTATTCTTTGATGCCTTATTATTTCTTCTACACATCCTTAGATAGGCTTACATGAACAGATATCCCTTGTTCCAGCTTCTACTCTTTCTGACTTTCTTGGGCCGTCTGTATACCTTTTATACAGTCTTCCCTTCCTTGTAGCTGTTGCATTTAGCGATAATCCCAATATCCTGTCTGCTTTTAGCTGTTCAATTAGCTTCTGGTTTTCAGCGCTATGCGTCTGGCTTATGTGCTGCTGACCATTAACCATCTGGCATCGCCTTGTGTGAAAATATGCAGAGGTGGTAAGTTCAACAAAACTTCCATAGCATTTGTAGGAGAGGTTTTCATGGCCCTTATTACACACCGGCAAGTAAGCCTTTGTGTGGAACTTAATAGCCCTATCACGCTCACTTGCAATGTCTTTGTTCACCACATCACCGACCCGTACTTAAACTGAACTATCTTTTCAAATTACTGGAGATTTGTATCTAGTTACTCTGCCAAAATGGGAAAAGTAGAATATTTTAGAATGAAAGTATGCTAGTGAATTACAATTATTAATACCAATGAAAACCTGCCTGATGTTCTACCACGTCGCTTGATCGCTTCGTTCAATTGCTCTTAGAATATTAGATCTAATGCTGAATGCACATTGAAAAAGCAAAACGGTTTTAGTCAAAAACCTTTTTGTCTCGGATAAAAACACAGTGTTTGGAATGTAACGGGGTTTCTATCAGGACAGTGTCTCCTCAACGATCACGTCAGTGATGGGAGCTGTGAAACAACGGCGAATACAGATTCTGTGGAGAAAATGTGGAAACACCAGAACACCTCATCACTGAGTGCCCAGAAATTCTGTTTTTGATAACGTTGTCACTTCTGGCGATATATCCTGGGAAAATAGTATCTTATTGAGAAAAGATTACGGGGGTCGTTGACTTCGTCTAGCTTCCGTTTCATTACAATAAACACAATCTGATATCATTCTTAATAATATTCTAATTATCTAATTGTATATTATAGCCTCGGTAATTTATGATAATGCCGTTCTGATAGGTGTAGGTCAGCCTACTCAACTTTTAGACTAAAATTGTATGTTAATATAAATAAAAAAAAAAAAAAAAAATTGTTATTTTTTTATTTAAATAAGTTTTTTTTTTTTTTTTTTTTTTTTTTTTTTTTTTTTTAAAAAAATAAATTACCGTTTACTTATTAGATTCTAGCTGTTTTACATGTGCTCTGTCTATTAGTACCCATTTAGATCATATTTTTACTAGTATAAAACAATAAAAGGTACGTACTTATTAGTGGACACCGATATATAATATTTTACTAAAATATAATATAAAACAGTAAACTGCTAATTTTTTCAATTATAAAGAGTATCTAATAAAATTTAGTAAAGTTTCTGAAAATAAATTCGAATCAATAACATACTTATTTTTTATAAAAAAACGATATTTATGAATTAACACTTTAATTACCTACTATAATTTCGATCACTAAGTAATGCTATATAAAATAATTAGTAGGTATATTATAAATAATAATGTACAGGATGTCCCAATATTCCGTGGACATAGAACTACTACATATTTTTGGAGTCAAAGTTCATTGAACACAATTTACCTCTATACAAAAGTGCTTCGTTTGTCCGTTAGGGGGCATCAAACTTTAAAAAAATAAACATATTTTTTAAGATACTTTAAGAACCAATACTCCGATTTGAATGAGATTTGGGGTGCCTATGTTTTGTTAAGCGCTTTAACCTTTGACTTTCTCAAAAAAAATAAGAAAAAGTACCGGAGAGGTGAAAATTACCCCCACTCCTACAAAAAATTTAGTAGAATTTTCCGCCAACGACTGATTTTTTTTCATGCAAAAAATGGTCCTTGTTGTACCGTATTATCGAAAAAAACGGCGTCCAGTTGGCTTGGAAATGAACATCGATGACATTTCCTATATAATTTAACATATAAAATGACAGCGATCTTCATTTCATAGCTATCGCTGACGCCGTTTTTTTTTCGATGATACGGTATTAACCACATATTTTTTTTTAAACTATGGATCAAGGAAAAGCACAATGTCCACTGGAGAAACAGACAGGGGCACAGGCACAGCAAAGCTTTTATCCAAGAACCTAGCTCTAAAACCGCAAAAGAACTGCTAATGCTTAGCAGGAATAAAGTGCGGATTACAACAAGCCTCTTGACAGGACACATGGCTGTCAAGTGTTATCTGAACAAGCTCAACCTGTATCAAGGAAGTCTTTGCTGCAGACTCTGCGATAAAGATCCTGAAACAGCGGAGCACATAATATGACATTGCGAGGCTCTGGATCGCAAGCGACACTCTTTATTTGGGAAAACTAGGCTAGAACCGGAGGAACTATGCTCCCATCCTATCAAGGACCTGCATAAGCATATTTTGTCTCTTGTAAAAAATGTCATATCGCATAGTTTTTGAGAAAAAAAATTTCAGCATTTTAACTACCTACGTATTTTTTGAATTGAAATAAGTTAATTGTACAGAATTTATCTCTATACAAAAGTGCTTCGTTTGTCCGTTAGAGGGCATCAATCAAAAATAAATCCGAACTTACCCGAAATCCGAAAATTTACGAAGCTTATTGTCAAAAATTATTTGTGATACTAACATAACATTCCATATTTTCGCCAACTAGATTGCATGCAAAGATTTTATGCACCTACATGTACCAAGAAATATTTTTTGTAAGCCAGCTTCGGAAAAACATTTTTTTTTCTTCGAAAAGTATGCGCGGTGGCGTTATTTATTTCAAGAAGCAACAAATGTAGTAAATACCAAAAGGACAATTTTACGAAATAGTAATCAGTCGTCGGTAGAGTTGGAAAATATTTCTACTTAAATGTATATAGGGATGGGGGTAGTTTTTACCTTTCCCGTACAGAGGCACCCCAAATCTCATTCAAACTGTAATAACGGTTCTTAAAATATCCTAAAAAATGTATTTTTTAACTTTAATGCCCCCTAACGGACAAAGGAGGCACTTTTCTATAAAAAAATTGTGTCCATTGAACTTATTTTGATCTCAATTCTGTAGTAGTTCTATGTCCAGGGAATATTGCGACACCCTGTATTCCGCCCCTGGTATATTATATATTATATATCATGGAATATTCGTTTTTCATCCGACTGACAAATTTTAAAATAAAAGATTTTCTACTATACAGGGTCCGGCAATAGTGCGTCAGGCATTTGTAGCTCATAGAATAAAAAACTTGAGAATTTTGTTTAAGTGCAGATCTTTTGAGCTACCCTAACTTCTATAGGGTGGCTCAAAAAAGTGTGGATAACCTGGATAATTTTTTTTAAATAGAACAACCTGTATATTATTGCATTTTTGGCTTCTCTTCAGTTTACATAACCCTAAGATATGAATAAATATATTTCGATAGTTTCAGAGATATTCAAAAATAAATCAAAAATATATTTTTTTCAGCACTTCTTAAAAAAATTATTAAAAA